CATTGTCTAACAAAAACCCTATAAGTCCACATTTCAGACTTTGTTGAAAAATTAAAAAAAAATTTAAAACAAACTTTTTATAACGAATTTTTAGAAAAATTCTAAGTATGGTANAAAACCCTATAAGTCCACATTTCAGACTTTGTTGAAAAATTAAAAAAAAAATTTAAAACAAACTTTTTATAACGAATTTTTAGAAAAATTCTAAGTATGGTTATGTTTTATAGCCTATTAAATTCTAGTTTCAAGTAGCTAAGAAGTCGCCGTGATTTTTAATGATTTCTTTTGCTGACGGTGTCGAGCATTTTCTTCCAGACAAAATATGTTTAAATTTTATTTATTTTTTGTATGGAAGAAAATTATAACCACATTCTCAAAAAAATTATCAAAAATAAACGCGGGTTCTTAGCCACCTGGAACTTGCACTTTTCAGTTCAATTTAATGGGCTTTAAATCTGCATACGTGGAATTTTTCTAAAAATTCTTCATAAAATGTTTGTTGTTATTATATAATTTTGTTGAATTTTTCTAATTATTCCATACCAAAACGGACTGGGTTCACACTTCATGTGTTTGATTTGTTTCAAATTTTTAGGGTTGACGCATAAATATAAATAATAAATAAATATGACATTTGAGCTTGATTAATACATTTTTAAAAACTTAACAGCACAAAAACAAAAGCAAATCGATTTAATAAATTTCAAAATATTTCGAGAACGGGGCGAGAAAAAAATTAAACATGCACACATAAAAATACTCTATGAAAAGAAATATGTAACATTTTTTGTTCCTTAAAAAATTTTTCACATATAAATTTTTTGATAAAGAAAAATTAGTTTTGAAAGAATGCCATCTCAAAAAAAAAAATTGAAAAAGAAATCACATGCTAGCACTGAGCATTACACAATATCTAAGAATAGTATTATGAGGTACACTCTGCAATAATTTGAGTTATGATTTTTTTTTACAACGAAGTTGAGTAAAATGAGTACATTACAAATATAAAAATTTCTAAAATTTTTTTAGATTTTTTTTTTAGTATGCAGTCTTATAGCCCATTAAAGTTTAAGCGATTGAAAAACTGGCGTTATTTTTTTATTTTTATTTTCTTTAAAAACGGGTTTGCGCATTTTCTTCCATGATAATAAAGTGCGAAAAGTCGTTAGCATAAAAAATATTAAAAATCAACGCAATTTCGCAGTAGCTTAAAACTTGCCTTTTATTATACTAAAATTTGATGGGGTACAAAGCTGCGTACTAAAAAAGCTTTTAAAGTTTGTAAATTTTTAATGTACTCATTTTACTTAACTTCGATGTAAAAAAAAAAAATCATAACTCAAATTATTGTAGAGTGCACCCAATAATACTATACCTAAATATTCCACAATACTCAGAGCTGCCATTGTGATTTTTTTAATTTTTGTTTGAGATGGCATATTTTCAAAAACTAATTTTTTTATCCAACAATTTTTCAAGAAAAAAGTTTTTTAAATATTTCTTTTCATAGAGAATTTTGATGAACGATTTTTTTCAAATTTTTACCTCGCCCCGTTCTCGAGTTTTTATAATGTATTAATCAAGCTCAAATTTCATATTTATTTATTATTTATGGTTTTGCATCAATTCTAAAAATTTGAAACAAATCAAACGCAGGAAGTGTGAACCCCGTTCGTTTGTAATGAGCTTTATAAAAAAAATAAACTTTACACAAACAAAAGAATAATAGCAAAAATTGGTTAAAATTGCGTGTACCTATTAATCTTGACATGACTGTACCAGACTGTGTGCAGCAGAGAATAAATCTACGATTGTTTGTTGACAAGGTAGTTATTATTGTTGTAATGGCATTTTATTGTGTGTGTTCGCTGGCCACATATGAACACAAATTGTTTGTTTGCTATTTCAATAACGTCAATTATAATTAACTGTTGGCTTTTTGTGTATACATGCATATACATATGTATGTATACATGTATTTGCGCAAAAAAAAAATACCTACATACATACTCGAGATGAATATTTCGCATCATGAACGTGCGTCAGAGTGACTACACCGAGGTGGTAGTGGTTTTGTAGTAGTAATTTTCGACAGCCGTCGCTACTGCAGAAGTTGTCTACTTGAGTAATTATTGCATGTGCTAAGTAGTGCAAAAAAAACATGCGAATTAAAAAAAAAAAATATATATATATATATTTATATATATATAAAAAAACATAAAAAAAAAAAAAGATTATCAAATTAAAGTTGTAAGAGTTCCGCGCACCTTTGACGTAGTGGCGGTGACTTTTGGCAATGATCGATGCTATTGACTCACCGTTGAACTCAAATCAAAACATGTCTTACAATGTATCCAATAATGTTTTTAAAATAGTTTTATGCATTTGGATATTTTTGCTGATTAAAAAAAAAAAATAATAAATAAATGAATTGTATTCGAATTGAACTTATGTTTGCATTTACAGTAGTGAATTCTTAAAATCGCTAAAAACCAATTGAATTAATGTTTGTCATTATCACTCGGTTGGGCTAAGTATTCATTAATCGGCTTTTGTTATTTGATTTAGGCATAGCTCAGTCTAAAAAGTGCTTCAAACGACGGGGTGTCACTGACCACGCATGGAGTGTACTTCACGGTTAGCAATTAAGTAATGAAATTTGCTATGCTGTGATGTCTACGAGTGATCTCTTTATTTCAATACGCACCATTTATATTTGCTGCCAGGCTTCTTGCTAGTTTAAAGTATTTATTATTTTACGTTCAACGTCAACGCGTTCTTTAGAAAATGCCATAGTGATAGTTCTTTTTTTATTGCCCATTATATTGTTTTCATGCTCCTGTTCTCTACTTGAGCGTATCCACTTATTTTCCACCACGTAGTCCAAACTATTAAGGATTGCAAATACCTTGGATTGGAATAGCGAGGCATGCTTCCAAAGAAAGAGGTGAATTTCATCCTCATTAACTTCTCTATAGACTGAGGGTCTGCTCCACCATATTACCGATGCATAACTGATAATAGGTCTCATCATATAGGTATAGATATAGAGGATATCCCTTGGTGACACATACCGTATTTTAGCAAAGACCTGTTTACACTTCCAAAGGGCTGACACCGATTTAGACGTTTTATACCCAAACTGAGATGTTTATGAAAGTTTGGCATCCAGAACTACGCCTAGATGCTTTACTTCTGAACAGATCTGAATTGTGAATTAAACCATCCAACTTCTCCTCCCAGTGACGAGCATAAAACTAGTTTTGGTTGGCTTAGCGGACAGCCCATGCTCATCAGGCTGAGTATCAGTCATATTCAGTGTTCTTTGCGCTTTCCTGCAACCAACTGACAGAGAGCAGCCCGTAGTGAGGCAGTCCACACTATCTGCCTAGGGCTGGTCGTACCAGGCATAAGAGCAAAAATGAAAGCACGCTCTGAACCCTAGGCTGTGTTGAAGAACCATCAGACCTCTTGAGCGAACCCAGTTTTGTTCTTCGGTTCTGTATAAGAAATTTACCAGCCAACCCGTTTGACCCAAGGTTTCAATACCACTGCAGAACTCTTTGAAGGAAACCCTTCTCGCAGAGCATATTACCTTCTTGTACACTATTTTCGTGCAGCGGCAGCGACTCTTCACTACCCGGTAACAAGAGTATGGCTGGGAGATGGACGCGGCTGATAAGCCTTACCCAAACTGGAAAGTAGGGAAGCCGCCAAATTAACCACCGCTTCACCAGTATCCTGCGTTGAACGTATCCTAGGTGGCGCAGCAGGCGCGCGCTGGAGCTTCTCCCAAAAACACAGCCAATCCACTCTTCAAAAAGTTCGCATAGGCGCAGAATAAATGGCATCCTGTCCTAGATGAAATTCGATATACCTGTGGTCCGAAAGCGAATTTTCGCTCAGGACGGTGAATTTTAGAATTTACCAACCAAACTGGGCGTAAGAAATGTTGGCTTAGTGGCCACTTTCAATATGTTAAGCCCACAAGATACGATGTACTCGAAAAGCTGATCATACATACAAAGCTCTGTGCTGGCTCGGTGGTCCCAAAAGGGTGCTCATACCAAAAGCAATAGATTTCATACTCTAAGAAAAAAGTATTTTTTATTAAATACAAATAAAAGTTAACATTTTACTTCATTTCATATTTTCACATTAAAAAACATTTATAACATATGTAATTATTTTTTGGTTGATTGGCTTAGAATAAAAATATTTTAGTCTAACGCTTCACGAATTTTTGTATTCTTTCCTTTTGCATTTTCTTTCTGCAGTGTAACTTCTTACGTTTCAAAATTAACAGTCAACCACTTACCACCCACACGCATTCCACTCACTTAAAAGGTCACTCAAAAAGCTTCAGATAAGTGAGCTTACGCTCAACTGAACAAATGGAAAACGCTTTTAGCCACAAACGCAAACATGGCTCATACTAGCAGTTGTCAGATTTATTCCGGTCTTCTAGTGGCGCACACGCTTCTGTTCGTGTTGTCCGCGCATGCGCATTGAAACTAAACAAGTGAATAACGAACGTAATGTAAGCAAACATAAAAATTAAAGAAGCAACAAGAAAAAGTATAAATAAAAAAAAATATATACTAAAGATTTACGCGAATTTTGTTAGCGTATCCATTCGACTGACTTAACTTACTAACCGACTTGCGAGAGTTGAGCAGAGCGCGCGCATGCGTTGGCCGAAGTGTTGCAAGATCTAGCGAATAAAGCAAAAAGAAAATTTGTGTTGCAATACATTGGCATACATATTTGTAGTTAAAAAAAAAAAAATATTAAATAAATAAATGTATGGCATGGAAAAAATTTGTGTATTGAAGCATTTAAAATCGTGTAACTGAAAGAAGTGAGAAACTGCAGCCAGAAAACATTTCAATTTTAAGCGTGATAAAAGTGATTTTAAAAGAAAAATAAAAGCAAATTATTTTGAATAGTTTTCAAGATAAGAAAAAAGTGCACGAAGATTTTTATCAAATAGTCGTGTGTATGCGCATCTAAACATACTTGCAAGGGCTCTTTGACAACTCTGCACTTAAGCTATTAATTGGTAAGTCCCTCATAAAAATTTTAAGTTCTTTTCCTACTTAAATTTTGGTAATTATGTATGTTAAGCATTTCAAAATCTATACTCATTGCATTAATTATTCAGTTGCTGCCCAAGCAGCAAACGATAATTTACACTTAATTTGCATTTTTAATTAAGTTAGCAAACATTATGTAAATAAATGTTGTGTTAGCATCACTTAAGCGGCTTTGAACAGTCATCGTTGAATAAATAAATAATATGAGTATTTTATGAGAATGACTCCCAAGTAATTAATGCTAAAAATTCTTTTTCAACTCTTTTGGTGGAAGTACCTTTGAATGAAGCCATTAGCGCTAAGTCATACCCCCACACGTATAACTGAATCATGTTTTGCTGCACGTGAACCAACGCCAATGCGATCAACGTGATGCTGTGCCAATCTGCCGCGCATGGGTCTCAATGAACTTGAACATGTGTTCAATCAGCCGGGTTGGCTAATTAACGCTGAGTTGATGAACTCACTTACTCGTGTTTTACTTAATTTAATACATTTATTGTCTTGCTTTGATTTGAAAATATGCAGATATCTGGAAGCGGAAATAAAGTTTATTTTATGAAAATTTTGGAGTATAGAATCGAGTGTGTAATGCGTTAGGCAGCAAATGGTTTTGAGTTAACCTTATAGAGCGGTGTAATCGCTCCACACTATGGGTGGTAGCGTTGAGCACCGCTATCATAAGGCCAATCCTTACCTACGGCGCCCTGGTATAGCCTAAAGCAAAACAAAGACCCGCCTTGAATGTTCTTCTCAACGTGACAACTATTGATCTGTACCTAAGGTAGTCGCGAAGTATTTAGCTCTCTCTGGGTTTTGGACAGGTAGTTACTATTGAGCCGATTACAATATCCACACCGTAGCTGTGCCATAGCAACGCGGCTCTTGCTTGACAGTTGAAGCTCCGTGTCTAGTGGTTGGTAAGTGTATATCCCAACCGTGCCCATTTATTCGAAAATATGCCCCCTACTTGCTGAGCATTTTTTATGCTCCCCTACGGCAAGAATTTGGATCTCGCTGTGCAGGTGGTGACATCAGAGGGCAGAGTAGTTCAGAACTAGCCGCTCAGTTTCCTTGTCTTTACCCCAGGTGCAGCCGGCGACTTGAGAAACTTGCTGCGGGTTTTTTTTCCTTTTTGAATGTTCTGCTTTTGTGCGGGTTTGTTAACCGTCGGAATTGGTATGCAAAGTTGATGTAGCTAGCAAAAAGGGAGTGTTCAATGGACCCAAATCTTCGGTCCAATTGTTTCAACACAGCTTCTCTTAATTTATGGCCGACGAGCTGCTCTCGTAATATTTTTGAAATATTTTTTCGCGACCGCAATGCGATGGCGCAATTACTTGGCTTAAAGTTGTGCGTTTTTCGCCACAGTACAATTACTGTCACTGTATCAATATACTTAATATTTTTATTACAATATCTTCTTCCAATGAAGTTATCATTACCGGAGATTCAGAGTTGTTTAACAATATTTTGCTGATGTATGAACCTAGTTTTATAAACCGTTCAAGCATACAACACCGTGCGACAGTAAATTTTTCACAGAAAAAAACTGATATATTCGTGAAAGTACAAATTATATTTTTTTAATTTTTTTAAAGGACTTTGAAATTTAAAATATATGATTATTTCAAAAAATTATTTAGAAAATTGGGTGCAATTTAGGATAATAATATGGGTATCATATAAAAGAAAAATATATGTAGAATTATAACACGATACATTTTTTGGTGCATAAGGACGAATGGGTATGGAAAATGTCCTTTACAAATTTTGTCCTTAAATATCCTTGAAAATTTGCAATATTGTTTTTTTTTTATTATTTTCTGAAGACTAATATACGCATGACCTCTTTCCCGAGTTTCGTCCTGCAATCTTTATTAGCTTAAAAAGATAAAATTTATTAAAAGCGCATTTTCAATACCTATTCGTCATTGTTAACAAAAAAATTAATTGTTTTTAAATTCAACAGAATTTTTTCTCCAATTTAGAACCCATATTGTTATTCTATATTGCACTGATTTTTTTTAAACATATTTTTTTTTGAAATAATCATATCTTTAAAACTTAAAAGTCCTTTGAAAAAAAATCCTGATGTCAGATTGAAAAACTGAAAACCCAGCATTGCTATATTTGGCCCATAGTTTCGTGAGTATATCGATTCTTTCGTTTGTTCTGAAATTTTTTTTAATTTTTTTCGCACGTCGAATTCCATCTTGTTTTTACATTTAATATTGGTTAGAAATGTTTCCTGTACTTGCAAGTCTGATTGATGACAAAGTAATTAATGAAGAAACTAATCATTTGGATTAATGAGAAAGGATTATTCTTTGATTAGTTATGAATACAGGGTGGGCTACATGGTAATCATAAATGGTAGATCCGGTTCCAAAGCCAAAGTGACAATTATAAATGCAGATGCATATGTATGTATATATTTAATACTAGGATGCTGACATTAAGTGCGGTTACTCAATGTCTGATTAACACGTAACTGTAGGTTAACATCGTTATCGACGTTATAAACCTCATAACGTATAACAGGGAGTCGATAACGTCGATAACGATCTTTAACCAGCAGTTTTTGTTAGCAGACATTGAGAAACTGGCCCAAACATTATTGAAAGGAGAACGTCTATCATTTTTATATAGGTTTATAGATTGCAAAACTATATAAAATTCATATAATTTTTAAGCTTTGCACTAATCAAGCAACAACAGTAAAATTTCTGTCTTCCGGTTGGCTATTCGAGAACCTTAAATTCTTGTTTAAAGGTAATTATAGTCCATAAACACTACGTTATTAATCAGCAAAATAAATAAGCAATCAACAAAAGCAATTTGCTCTTATAACTTCTTCGTATTTTCTTCTTTTAATTAAAACAAATAATTCAGCGCGCAACTAACTGGTTATTATCACTAATTGCAAAGAAAAAGTTGTATTACCTGCAAATATGTGGTAAAAAATTTGTTTCGGTTAGCCTATACGCCTACCATGCACTTTGAAATATACTTTTGAGTGTTTTATTATTAATATTCATCTGTGCCTATCAATAAGTTGCGGTGTAAAATGTTGCGTATGCGCATTAGGGTGGTAAAAAAAAAAGTTAAGTCGGAATTTTAATGCTCTCATCCCCTAGGATTATACTATACCGAAAAAAATCCTACCCCTGTATTTTTTTTTTTTAATTTGAAAGCGCTCAAAGTGTTCCATGTATTTTATACGGAAAAAACAAGTTATCGTAGAAATGGCATAGAATTCTATAAAATTATTATTTTTCGATTGTAGAACTTGTTTTCTCTTCAGAACACTTCCGGTAATAATACCCGAATGATTATTTAACTATTTTCTTCTAACAATATTTTATAGGACCAGTAAAAATATCAAAAAAAAAAAAAATGGGGGGCACATAAAAAATCGCTAGTATTAAAACATGGTTTTACAATCAATTGGGTATTGTTGTTGGAAGTCACCTGAAGAGAAAAAAGTTTTCCGATCGAAAATTACTGATTTTCAAGAATACTATAGCACTTCTACGAAAACGTGTTTTTCCCATATAAGTATAAAATACAAACAAATACAAAAAAAAAACTTTGAGCGCTTTGAGCGACCTCTAAATTTCCTTGATAAAAAAAACAAACAGTGGTATCATTTTTTCGGTAGGGGTGAGGGCATTAAAATTCCGTCTTTACATTTTCACATGCATTTTTGGACCACCCTCATTTACATACATACACACATAGTCCTACTCGTACATACATAAGTAGTCGTTTGTCTGAAAAACGTTGAAACCACACAGCCAACAAAAAATATCTGCTTACGTCGTTTCTCTTGGGAATAAAGCGCATGCGCAAGAGTTGATTTTTTCTGCAGTAATGACTGGGCTTTTAGTGTTTTTTGAAAGACAGCAATAATACTGAGCGCTGTTAATCTCGGTATTTCGAGATTTCTTTATTGTGGTAGCGAGTTGCTGGTATGTAGTAAAATGCAACCGGAAATGTGTTAGCAAACGTTAGATGAGGTGCGCGGTGTGGCAACAGACGTCGAGTACCAAATAAAATTCTTGTTTATCGATGAAAGAAGTCGCACGATAGAAAGTCGAACTGTCTGAAACCTCCTTAGATATTGAGTGTCTCGCAAAGGCCGTAACTAATTCAGGCGTAGTTGTAGCTGTTGCCCAAAGCAATTTTACATACCTAGCCGGTTTAGTTTCGTGAATATATGTATAAATTCAGATCCTGTGGTGTATTGGCAACCTATTTCCTTGCTAGTATTATGAATAGCTCAGCTGGCAGGCTGTCAGCCCCAGCAGCCTTGTTGTTTTTCAATCACGACATTGTTATTCACAATACTCCGGTGGAGCCATACTAATCCCGTCGTAGTTTCAACTATCTGCTATCATGAAGGTTGGTGGTAAAGTGTTTGGAACACTTGGGGATGCTCTGAACACCCTTCACTTTCTGCGGCGTAATACATTACACTTATGGAAAATTCGGTACCACTGTTCCGGGTATTACTGGCTACTATAAGAAGTCTTTCAATTAGGGTGGTTTGGCAACAAGATCCGCCCAGTGAGAAATATGGAATGCAAATGAATGGCTACGATGGAAGAAACTCTCATGGGTAAAATTGGAAATTCCATCCATGAACATTAGTTTCTTAATAGTATTCGCTCAACCAAAGCAAAGAAATAAAAACAAGCAAAAATATTTCCAGTTCGGGATCGCGGGCCTAACATCCCTAATTAACGTACATATGTGCATGTTTGTACTACTTGCCAGATTCGTGTGCTTTGCAATGCTAAGTACTTATTTGTTTTCATTTCCAATAGCTTCACTTCTTTTTATAATTTTATGGCTTTATGCTGAGTTGCCGGCTTGGCGGCTCTGCGTCGCCGGTGACCGATTTGTTAGCTGCGAATGTGCTAATGTTTTTATTTTTGTATACCGAACTATCCACGTGAAA